ATAACATCCTGATTTATACTTCACAGAGATCGTAAACAAGTCATTATTTTAAAATAAAATTCCTAAAAGAAAATCTGGCACTGAAAACAGTATTTTCCAGTAATTCAGAGATGAGATGATAGTAAATACGTAAAATGAAACGTCAAATCAAAGGTGAATGGACGACCGCAACCAGTGTGACCTTGGCAGTGGTCCAACGCTCCCAAACTCCCGGCACAATGGCTAGGTACTTATAGGGAAAACCCATTTCAGATAAGGAAAATATTACAAGCATCTTTATTTAGGTTAATATACATATTATTTAATTGGAAAAATTCTCGACCTTCTGGTAAAGTAAAGAGAAAGGAAGAAGACAATCACAATTGTAATTATTTATGAAATCGGTAAAATAAACAATGTAAAAGAAAAAAAATTGATGTAATGAATTCAGTTAAAATTTAAGATGTGCTGTCCTCAAGGGACTGAAGAAGGGCAAGAAAAAAGCAAGTTATTTTAGATTGGAACTGAGTTAGGTCATGTCTAACCATATAGTACCAGTCCAGTATCAGTTAGTCAGTAGAATATATCCATATAGTCTAATGGTTACTGAAAATATTTATTTCAAGAAAGACTCCTTTCATCTCATATTAATCAATATTATAAAGGAAAAAGATAATACCCTGATTTAAGGATAATAAATCTAATTGTTCCTGCAAATAAAGCTGTTATTTGTATGCAGTAAAATTGACATCATAAAACAAACTTATGATACCAGATGGCAGATATTACCTATCTGTATTGTATGACATTGATGGTTAGACAAAGTAAGTCACTAGGCAAGTAGGTATAATATTTCCGTCATATAATAAAATACAGCTCTATATCACCTCTATTTACATATAATCTAATGTTAGAGAAATATTTGTGTACATATCAATATTATACCTATATCTACTATGTATGATTCATCGTCTGCAATTGCAGTGTTCTTACAAGTTTTCCGATACAGTACTAAAATATCCAGATTATTTCCTAGAAATTTTGGCTTGTGTTGCCAAAACGTTAATACTTATGTAGTAGACCACGGCTTTGGCCTACAAGGAGTTTCATTATCAATTATCGAGTTACATAATACTGAAAACACATACTGATTATCGCGATCTATCATATGCACAATGGTGCAGTTAACTAATTTTGAACTTTATTATTAATGCCATAAGATCGAAAATACCGGAATTTTCAATTTACTGTTCTTTTGCTCCTCCAGTTAACTAAATTTGAACTTTATAACTAAGAGACAAGAACAAAAATGCCGGAAACTGATTATTTTTGCACCGATTCGTATGGTTGCCAAATACAACTGAAATGACTAACACATTTGATTTGAGATGTAATGTAACGTAAACTTATCTATTTAGTAGCACAGTTTATCGATAAGGAGATAATTGAACCAAAACCGTATCAGATTATTTACTTCAACAAAAAAGCAATTGTTTATAATTCTATTTTTATGTATCTTACGTAAATTATTGTAAAACAGGAAATTTCCTAACAAATTACAGCTGTAAAATACTATAAGAAACCAATTCTTTACAACTCATTATGCAAGTTCTAGGACCATTATCATGTAAAACATTAAAGGGAGCAATGTGCATTTCATATTGATAGTGTATAGAACTAGTTATAACCGGATACACGTTGCAGGCGTTGTCAACCGACACAGATCACTGAAGTCAACAGATAAGGAAAAAGCAGATCTGTATCGCGACGAAAACAGATTGAAAACTCCTTACAAAACATTCCTAACACTACGACATGACGTACTAACACGTTTTGTGCACATGCCCTACACAATTCTATTAATACGAATGACAAAAACGAGTAAAACACGTAATTAGGAGCATTTGAATATGAACTTGAACTTCCGTACCTTGAAAAAAAGTGGATTACTGCCAAAAAGAATCTTACCTAATTTCTCTAAAGCGTCTTCGATAACTTCGATGTCTTTGCCAGATAGTCCTTCCTCAGTCTTCGGTTTGCTAGTTTCAATTACAATCACAGGTGCTGGGTCTACCATGACGGGAGGAAGTTTAGTGTCAATGATGGGAGCTTTGTCTTTGAGTTCTTCTTTTTCTCTCTTTTTAGCTTCGAGGATCTGTTTCTCTCTCTCTGCCTCCTGCAACTCCTTCATTTCTTCCTTGATCTTCTGTTCTTCCAGTTTGATAGCTTCTGCTTTAGCCTGGAATTAGTATAAACATGCCTTAGTTATACATAATTATAGAAAGTAGTTAGTAAATTTATAGATATTTACTAACATAACATAACATCACGCCTTTTATCCCGAAGGGGTAGGCAGAGGTGCACATTATGCCACTGTACTATGTAACACCCACTTTTCACTATTTATGTTACGAGTCCCATGTAATAGGGGGTGAGCCTATTCTATTTACTAACAATATGTACCTTTTTAAAATTAATTTTTTAATCAAGAATATTGTTTGATTTTAATTAGTGCCAGTACTTAAAACATAAATGATTTTCATGTGAGAACAATGGATAGTACTAGTGCTTTAACTCGTCGAGTACCGGTTTTGTAGACACAATTATAGAACAATAGGTTGCGGTCACCGGTGACCGCTTGGTGTTTGACAGTTTAATATGCAGTTATTGTTAACATTTAAGCATGTTGTAAGATATTCAAGAATAGTTAAAATACTCAAGAATGTTACCTTGAAGTCCAGTTTGCCTTCCTTCTCTCCTATAGCAGCCTTAGTCTGAGTCGCTACTTGTTCTGGTAAAGCAGATATTGTTGCCTTGAGTTTGTAGGTTGTGGGTACATGTTCTGGTACCATGAGGGCTCTAGACAACAACAGCAAAGATGGTGGCACCTTCTCATTTAATGACAAGTCCAGCCAATTCCTCAACTCCTTTCTCAATCGCTCTTCTGACACACCATAAGCCCTCATACCCCTAGCCCTGCAAGCTTGTTGCAGCTCACTAAAATTTAGACTCTCAACACCCTCCTTAGCAATCACTTTGTCGTCAGCGGCCAGTGACCTCAGCTTCATCTTAAGATTAAACCGTAACATGGCACTTGTACCAATCGTTGATGCATTCAACACTTTGCACAAAGCAACTAAATGCGGCCTCTGTAATGAATCTAATGTGATCTCATCTTCAAACAATTTTGAGAATTTCATAATCTCCTCACTGGTTGCAACATCTCCTGATGTCCTGATCCTACTGAAGAAACTAGAGAACTCTCTAGCCAACTCTGAATGTCTATTACTGGCTTGTGGAGCCATCTGATCTAATGTCTCTTGGAAGAACTTTGCAATTTCCAATTTTACTTTAAAATGTTTTTTTAACTTGGCTTCTTTCTGATCTGTACTCTCAAATGTGGATGGCAAAGCATTTGGGAACAGTTTGATATAAAAAGGCAGTGCAAATTCCAAAAATGGAACTACTATAAATACAATAAATGGAACCATTCTAAACAGATCACCAATAGTGGTGACCAGCAGTCTATGCTCCCTTCGAGTCAATGTGTAACCTTTTAAGATTTTGAAAAATAGTGTCGATGAGATCCTTACTTCTATAAAAAGTAATCTGAAGCCATGGTAATAATGTCGTAACTCATTCATAATGCGCTCCTTTAAACTCTTTTTTTTCTGTTCCTCTTTTTTTGGAAGTCTTTCTTGTTCATCAAAGCCTTTCTTTATAGTTTCAACAGTTGCTTCAACTTTTGAGGAAGGCTTTAATGGTTCTTTGTCAAAATTATATCTGCTTGTGGTAAAAGTCCTGATGAACCCAGGATGGTATAAGATCCTTGTATTGAATGGTTTTTGTGAAACATCATGATGGGGTCCGATAGGCTGTGTTGTATAATATGACAATGACCTTGAGAGTGTTATATATGGAAAGTTTTGATATAATCTGTTTTCCCATAGTATTGCTGGAAAAATTTACAAATATTTAGTAAACATCACAAAAATTTGCGACATAGGACGTTTGTTAAAATAGTACTTGTAGACATCACAAAACACAAGTAGAATCTAATAAGAATAAAATTATAAGAAGCCTGGGGAAGCTACAATCTTGACTGTTTGATTTCTGTAAAACATTTCACCTTTGATCTATTTTATATCTGAAAAGAACCTCGGAAACCATGTGACGGTCATGACGAAACTTAAAATATAATTAGATAATATTGTTTATGTTGTTAGTTCTTGTCACATCTAATTACATACTTCCTATTTACAAATAACAAAGCATGGTACCATTATGTAAAACTAATATTTTCCACGATGAAGTCATACGAAGGTGTACATAATAATCAATCAAAATCCGCTTCACTTTAGGTTAAGACATAGTTATACGACATTTCCTGCTAAATATTATTTACTTACTCGATTTTTTGATGCATCGACATTGGTTAATAATTATTCTGTTCATAATGTTCGCTATTCGTAGGCTTTATCTACTGGAAATATTGAAAATATAACAAAAACAAAATCAACCCCTAATACACCATGACAATCGAGAAGAATCACAGTCCAAAGCACAGATGCAAAATATAGACTAGCAATGTTTACATTTTTTAATTTTTCCGATCGAGTTCATTATTTTTATGGGTTCATGGAAACTGTGCAGTTTACACTGTACCACTTAGATGTTTTATCTGTAAATACATGGAAATCTCAACTATTTAGCACTTTTTTAATATTATGCAGAAATTTATACAAGATTCTAATAAGATTGTTATAAAATCCGCTACCAAATCTATAGGTCTACAATAGTGTCAAAAAATCGAGTCTAGTAGGCCATAAAAAATTGTACTCCATAATCATAAAAACATAATTTACAGATCAAACAAGATAACTTTATTATTTATTGAAGAAATTCAAATATAGCATCAATTTTTATTGTATTTTGTTGAGGGGCGTACCATTATCTAGCTATTTTTTTTTGGATACTCTTTGCCTGTACTCTACAATCTATGCTTGCTACTATAATGTCAATCAAATGGATGTCATTGTCACGTTTTATTGATTTGAATTTTGGTAAAACATAACCTGGCTCTAATGGTGCTAATGGTCCAAAAAATATAAATAAAGTAGTTTCTTTAACCATAACAGGAACAATAAATGAATATTGTACGCTGGTATTTGAAACCCAGTTTTGTTAAGCAATTAACAAAACCAGTCGGGCTTCGTTCAAACAGTAAGTTTGTTTATGCTTCATGCGTTCATTTCATGGTATTATTTACTTTACTTATTTATTTGTCGTATATAATCAGTAGTTTATAGTCCTGGATTTATGAGAAATAGTGCTGAGTAGTTCACATTTCCAATTGACGGAGTGTAACAATTACTTACCTCATTTATAATAGAAAATAAAATGGATATTGATTTTCTTTTCGAAAACTCCCAGAGAGGCTTCAAACTTACGAAAATAATGTATAGCACGTGGATGGGGCTGTCATAATTGATTTTACTTGTCGAATGTATGCATATACATCAATACATAGTATAAAACAAAGTCGCTTTCGCTGTATGTCCGTATGTATGCTTAGATCTTTAAAACTACGCAACGGATTTTGATGCGGTTTTTTTTAATAGATAGAGTGATTCTTAAGGAAGGTTTGTATGTATAATAAATGCATAATATAGTAGAGAAACACTGATAAATTTAAAGGTTTCTAATGTGATGTCGTAAATAAGCACGTTTTTTTGCGCTTATATTGCAAACGCTGGCTGAACCCTACGAGATAGACCAAATTAATGTACTTCAGTATTGTTCACCTTAAAAAGTTCAACAAAAAAGTCCGCGATGGTATATGTCTATCTCATTATATGTCGCGCTGTCAAGAGTAACGTCTAAGCAAAACATGTTTGTATTGGCTAATGACAAAAAAGCTGTGATGTGAACGTTGTGTATAAGGACATTCTGTAGTAGGTATATTTTGCATTGCACCCGTGCGAAGCCGGGGCGGGTCGCTAGTGCTTAATAAAAGTGACATAAATTTATTTCCAGTTGTCACCATGTCTTCATCGGCATTTAGCAGTGCAGCTAAAAGGATCGTATGGGTGGACCTTGAGATGACAGGTCTTAATGTGGAGAAGGACCATATTTTGGAGATAGCCTGTGTGGTAACAGATGATGACCTGAATATTGTGGCTAAGGGACCTAATATAGTCATCAACCAGCCAGACAGCATTCTCAATGAAATGAATGACTGGTGTATTGCTCAGCATGGTGAGGTATTAAGTTCTTCTGTTTAATGTGTATTCTATTTACCTTAACTCGTCGAGTACCGGTTTTGTAGACACAATTATAGAACAATAGGTTGCGGACACCGGTGACCGCTTGGTGTTTGACAGTTTAATGTGTAAGTTCAATGAAGGTTTCATACATAAACACTCCCAAATTTTTTGCCATGATAAATACAGCCTACTAACACCCACCACCTATTGCTATTGCCCCTTCATTTATTACAAACTATATACATTTATTATTTTAATACTGTCCACATACATTGAGCTCATAAAACACCAGATGTAACTTTATAACTACAATGCAATTTATCTAAACTTGGAGTACTTCCCTAAATTACTACCGAGAGGTGGTTGTTTTGCACAATGAATAACTTTTCACACAAATATTTCTCACATTACAGAGTGGACTAACGGAGGCTAGTCGGCAATCAAAAATAACTCTAAAGGATGCAGAACAACAAGTTCTGGATTTTGTAAAATCCCATGCACCAGAGAAGAAGTGCCCTTTGGGCGGCAATTCAGTCTACATGGACCGTTTATTTTTAAGAAAATATATGCCGGTACTAGACAACTATCTTCACTACAGAATAATAGATGTCAGTTCCATAAAGGAGTTAGCAAAGAGGTGGTACCAAAAAGAGTATTCACTCATGCCTATGAAAAAATTCAAACATCGATCTATAGATGACATACTGGAAAGTATAGAGGAATTGAAGTATTTCAAAAGGCATATATTTAAGGTAACAGATAAATTGCAGACAGCAGTTTAAAGTCAAATTATGCATATTATTGCATAAGCTTATATTACAAATGTTAGTACAGTAATTAGGACATTCGACAACATTATCTACAATTCGCTGGCTGGAGAGCAAATACTTTTTGAAGCAGTATATCAATACTATTTATTTTTCTGTTGTCAGCTACAGATAACTAATCTGTGTCCCTAATGTATTAGTTGTGCATGGTCAAGTAGTAACATAATTCCAGAATAAATCTTAAAACAATCTGTCATTTTGACTATAGAAGCAAAAAGTAATACCGAATAACTGATAAAATGTCCAGATTTGGTCAGCAAGATAAATGAAATGTTTCTTGTGATTTCTTAGTTCAATTATTATTTAGGTTCGCATCTTAGTTAATAATTATGCTTATAGTTTTCGAATACTTTCACCTTATAAAAACTACAAGGTGCAAGCTAGTTTTACAAGCAATCTTATAGAATTGTTACGGGTTTAAATTATGGAAATATTAAGTTTATATTCATAATATCATTATACACACCTAATTGGTATTCTTATTATTAAGTATTTCAAACTGGACTGACTTGTAATAACTTAATAAGATATCAAAACATTGATGGTACATGAAATAAAAGTATGATAAATTAAAGCGTGGTCTTTTTTGTAATGATTAATTATAATTTGACCACAGTGCTGTTGCTTGGTCTGCAGTCAATAATCCTGGAAATTAAATAATTCAAAATCTCTTTATTGCCCTCTGTTTCTGACAGAAACTCCATACAACTAAAGTCGAAAATCGATCTTAACTGCTCATTTCCCAAATGGTCACCATTGACCGCTCTCCACTAACTCCATTATAGACCTTATTTTCGATGTTAAGAGACTACTTTTGTATGAACAAATTTTGGGGATTTTCGGTACTATATAATTATAATGTATTAAATTCAAATATTTTGGATTATATTAATTAATGATTTTGGTTATTAGTTGCTCTTTCCACACTGCCGGTACCACGATCATTATGATTTCATTAAAAAAATTTAATGATATGATTTCATTAAAAAATTTTGATTGTAAAAAAAAATCAATATGTTTTGGTAATACAATTAAATTTTTTTTAATGAATTTGACTGCACGGTTGGCGTGGTGGCTGGGCAACTGGCTGCCGCGCAACGTGTCGCGGGTTCGATTCCCGCACGAAACAACTCTTTGTGTGATCCACAGATTGTTGTTCCGGGTCTGGGTGTCATGTGTATGTGATATTGTATGTTTGTAAACGCACCCACGACACAGGAGAAAATCCTAGTGTGGGGCAACGTTTAAAAAAAAAATACAAAATATTTTTTTTTCTGTGCGTGCAATAAACATAACATAACATCACGCCTTTTATCCCTGAAGGGGTAGGCAGAGGTGCACATTACGGCACTTAATGCCACTGTACAATGTAACACCCACTTTTCACTATTTATGTTATGAGTCCCATGTAATAGGGGGTGAGCCTATTGCCATATACCGGGCACATTTTCAGACTGTGCTACCACTGAGGTTTTTACAAACCCAGTAATACTTTGCCCGACCCGAGAATCGATCCCGAGACCCCTTGCCCGGCAGTCGCACTTGCGACCACTCGGTCAATGAGGCGTGCAATAAAGTTAAAATAAATAAATGGGAGTTGTAAATGAGATCTTCTTTTTTTTTTTAAAAAAATTTTTTTTTAAAAAAAGATTGTCTCCTGTGTCATGGGTGCGATGGCGTTTACAAACACATGACATCCAAACCAGAAACAAAAATTTGTAGATCACACAAAGAATTGCTCCGTGCGGGAATCAATCCTATAGATATCTAGATTTCTTTACCACCCAAGTCTCAGTCAACCAATTCAATTACTAGCTAAATGGCTATTTCATTTGCATAGAACTCAGTTTGAATTCTAGATGCAAATGCAAGTTCGCCACAGTCAAATAGATTTGCCTTTTAAGTGGGATGGCTTAGCTGTAGGATAATTGCTACCCTGTCGCCAGTCGATGGCTTTGTTACTGTGCAGAATGGAAAGTTAGCTGGGTTTTTGACGAATAGAATAGGTACCTATTTATTTCGTAATATTACAATATTTTGGCTGTCCAATGAGTTATCACAAGAATGGTAATTGAGGCCTTAGTACGAGTTTATTTTACGTTTAAAGTAATCGTAACGAGTACGCTTTCGGTGCTGATTGGTTGGTTCATTGGCGCCGGCCAATCAGAGTGCCGAACGCGTACTCGTTACAAATATTTTAAACGTAAATGAAACTCGTACGAAGGCCTCTGATCAATAGGGTAGACGACTAATTTTTATTTTAATGTCCGTCTGGTAGATTATTTTAAATCATTACACACGTATTTTTTATTTTCTTACAGAAACGAATACTTTTCACGATATATTGATTTGAAATGTCGTGTGACGTCACATTTATGTACATTTTATACGTAGAAATGACGTTTTAGCCCCCACTCCTAAACTTTGATCCGTTTTATCTAAGTATTGTTTTATTATACGACAAAATAAAAAAATACATGTCTAATATTTTTTAAATACCTAACTTACGGACTAATTAGATTTATAATTTTCATACCCTGTCGTCATCCCAATTAAACCAAGTTCTATTTTTCGATTTGGAAATTGTCACAAAATTAAATGCCATATAGTCAAGGGTTTACCTGTACGGTAGATAGACACTGTGGATCGTAGAACAACATAGCGTCACACTTTTATTAAATAGGTAGGTATAGGGGGTAGGTACCTACATGCCTACCCTCTCCATGAGTTCCATGGGTCTGTGCCTATTATTGAACATGCACGTACCTACACCGGATAAAATTCTAGCCTCTGTGTCTGATCGTATAGAACTCGAGACTCGTTACTAGTCGTAAACTCATAACTACCTATAAATGAGTTTAATATGTTCAATTTCATGTCCTTACAAGCCGATACAGTGTTTAAAAAATCACTGCCCAGCAGTAATATGTCGTTGAATCACTTTCCGACATTCATAATAGCTCGCCACTTACTAAAACCCATAATTAAATCGTAATACAAGACCATTATGTATAGAAAAATGAAGACATTAATTTCCGAACAACCATAATCGTAAGTTAGAAGGAAATCGAACGACATTACCTACCCTGGATGGGCAAATTGGGGTCGTACAAATTAACCTTGGACAAAATGTCCTGTCTTCAGGGATAACGAAATTGTCTTGGCACACGCAACGAATTTAATTATGATAAAATATGAAGTGTTTGGGACCCCTGGTAGACAATTTGTTCCGTGTGTGGCAGGGATGTTTGCTGTCGACGTGTCGGTTTTATGTTTTTGATCCCTGTGTTTGTAGAGTCAGCCAGTAGGGGTCTGCGTTTGCATGATCTTGTTAGTGGCAGTCATTGTTTAAGATAAGAGTGTTGACTAGGATTTATTAGACCTTTAGGAGCTAGGTAGGAGAGCCTAGTGTCCTAGAGGAGGTTTCTTCTTTGTTTCCAGTGGTAGTGAAACTCCGATGAGAGGTGTGGACTAGAATGATTTTATTCGCCAAACTGCGCTACTTATATTTCTATTTACATATTTACAATTAGATAATATCAGATATAGTTAGGTGATAGTTTCGACCAATAGCGGCGCGCCGGCGTGCGCGGGGCGCGCGGGGTGAGGGGCGCCGCTTTGCACACGGCACTATCGGTTCCTTCCGTATAAGTATGACCGCGCGGCGCGAGCGCGCGCATTTCTGCGAGCGCCGGCGTCGAGTGAAGACTGAAGACTACCTACAGATGAACGATGAAGATACGACGAATGCAAGTGCTCCGGCTCCGGTCGCGCTGCTTGGCTGCTTGCTTAACCAAACCGCTTCTTTCGAAGCGATCGCTCGCGGCACGGTGTGATAACGCTGTTGCCGCAGTGATTATTATTGTTTCTATGCGAGAGAGTCGTAAACTGTCTTTTTCAAGACAATTGGTTTCTTGTTTCTAAAAACGGAGTCAAAACGTAAACTGTCTTTTTCAAGACAATTTGTTTCTTGTTTCTAAAACGAAGTAAGTCTAAAACTTTGGTAAAGGTATTGTGGAAGGTATATGGTAAGGTATTCGGTGGTACTGGTAACTGGTAGGTATGTAGTCGTGCGGTGCGGCTACAGTACTCCCCCCCGAGCGAAGCGTACTGGGGTCTTGACGATTCTTCCTGTTCGCGTTCTTCGTACATCGCTGATGCTCGACGGAGGTTGACTGGGTTGATCCTGGATAGCCTCTGGTGGCGTTGCACAGTTGTCTGAGTTATCGTGATTAATGACGTAAGCAGGCTTCAGACGCTCGATAGACACGTTGGTAGTACCTCTAGGTGTTTGTAACGTGAAGTACTTGTTGCTTCTGCTGGTGACTAGGTACGGACCCTTGTACGGACGTTGCAGCGGTTTGCGAACTGCGTCGTCACGTACAAATACGTGGCTGCATGTTTGGAGGTCTTTGTGCACGAAGATATTCAGTCGATTAGTGTGCGACTGATAAGCGGGCGTTAAGCTTGTGATAACACGATGCAAGTCGGCCACATAGTCGTTATCCATCTTCGTGTAGGTAGGCGATGGCGATATGAAATCGCCGGGCAGCCGTAGTTCTTGTCCGTAGGTAAGTTGAGCGGCACTAGTGTTAGTGTCGGTGCGCGTAGCGGCTCGTAGTCCCAGTAGCACGGTAGGTAACTCGATCAACCATTTGTTGTTGTCGGCGAGTCGAGTCATGAGTGCGGCTTTCAATGTACGATGCCAGCGTTCTACGATCCCGTTACTCTGCGGGTGGTAGGCAGTAGTACGAGTTCTTTCTATTCCCAGTAGCTGAGCGAGATTTTTAAATAAGCTGCTCTCGAACTGTCGTCCTTGATCAGTCGTGATTTTGATAGGACAACCAAAGCGTGATATCCATGCTTCATACAGCTTTCTTGCGACGACTTCGGCTGATACCTCTCGCAGAGGGACGGCTTCTGCCCAGCGGGTGCAGCGGTCGATCATAGTGAGTAGGTATCGATGTCCGCTCGAAGATGTAGGCAGAGGTCCGACGATGTCAATGTGTACGTGTTCGAAACGCTCGCTCGGTGGGAATGATGTGACGTCACTGTGCGTATGTCGATGTACCTTTGATTGTTGACACTCAATGCATGACTTTGCCCACTCGCCAATCTCGGTGTTCATAGACGGCCAGAAGTATCGTTGCTGCATTAGTTTGCGTGTAGTTCGAATACCAGGATGACTTGTATTGTGCACGGCGTTGAATGCGATGCGACGAAAGTCAACTGGTAGGTATGGGCGGATGTGAGGCGTCGATACTTCGCAGTAAATCAGCTTGTTTGAAGTAGGTATGGCGATTTTCTTGAGTTGAATATTTGTTTGTTTAGATAGTTTGAGAATATTGCTGTCCTTTTCTTGTGCTTGCGATAGTTGATCGTAGTCTATCGGCGATGGTAAGTCGATCGTTTCAACGCGTGACAGTGCGTCGGCGACTACGTTGTTCGCTCCGGTCACGTGACGTAGGTCGGTCGTGAACTCGCTTATAAACAACAGCTGACGAGTGCGTCGTTGTGTGTCGTTGTCCGACGGCGGCTTGCGTATTGCGTAGGTAAGTGGCTTGTGATCGGTGTAAACAATGAGTTCTCTTCCTTCGAACATTTTTCTAAAATGTTTGATAGCCATATATATTGATAATAATTCTCGATCGAAGGTACTATAACGTTG